GAAAAGGGCGTTAAGAGGGTGTCGAGTATACCATAAATCTCAGTCTTGGAAGCCAAAAACAATCTGATCTAGTAAGCGCAAAAACAAAGCCATCTCATCTTTGAGGATGTTTCGGTCATTAACCCATCAATCCACCGTGGCAGTTGATGTAAATCCTGGGAACCGCGGGACGCCAACAAGTCTGGAGAACGCAAATCTCGCTGCAGTCCTAATATTAAACGACGATTTCAGAGACTCAAGAGCCACCAAGGTCGCCTCGGATACTTGGCTAAAGGAATCAGATATTTCTGGTGCCGCGGGTGACGTAGGTGTCGTGGTACCTGGGGTCCAGTCCGAGAATCCCCGAGCGAGCGTTCCCAGCGCCATTATATCATGGTGAATTTGTAAGATAGATCGCTCGTCGTTTTCCTTTGCAGTTCCCAGGTGTCTTTCCATATCCATAAAGATCGGATTCATGACAGACTGGGCGTAGACGACTTGTTGGTCAACAGGGACTGAAGTGGTAGAGCAAATAAGGCCAATAGCTTCAAAAAGATATAGCTGGCTGTTGAAGACAGCATCGGCAGACCCTTCGTGATCTTCTGATGACATGTCATCACCATCAGACCCTTCTTGAGGTACTTCTGCCCGGATGACAAGAAGATCACTGAGAGCTTTGATGACGGTTTCCGCAACATTCCCAATGCGGTTTCGTAGATGCTTAACGAGCCGATGGAAAAGGTACCACGATCTCGTGCTGACCTTCTTGACTGGGTGATGAACTAATTGTAGGAAACTTTCTAGGACACCTGGAATAAGATGGACATGGTGATCGAAAAAGGAGCTATAGCGCACACAGATTTCCATGAATTGGAGTTGGGTTACCGGATGGGTAAACGACCTAATATCTGTTAAATGGCAGCCTCATTAGCTACCGACCCAAAAACTACATGGCTGGCAGCAAAAACTTACCAGTTTCAACCATACTTCGCATCATTTCCACCAGCCTTTCCGCTGCGGGATTATTCAATTTATTTTTGACGTACAAGCCTCCCGATTTCACAGCTAGGTCCCCAAAAAGGAACATCTCATGCAAGGCAAGATCTAGATCCCTCCAATCAACCTGCGTGCCAGGCTGCCTCATACCGTCAAAAGTGGTCCCGACCACTCCACTCACAACATCCATGTAAAGCTGTTCGTTTGTAGACGCAATGATTTGCTGAAGTACGTTTAGCCGTTTTCGGAGTTCCTGGAACTCAGCTTCGTCCGTTTGCTCATCCTCATCACCCCATGTCGAGGTTTCATCATATCTCATTTTAGTAATGATAGCCTTTAGGATTGGCATTAGCATAGTGGTTTGCTGAGGGACAAGCGCGGGATTCTTTTTCGTGCTTTTTCGGAAGTAGGAGAGGAGGTCGTTCATAGAGGGGATAACAGTGGAGCATATCTCATCATACTCGTCTGCGAAATATCGGAGGATATGTGGAAGAAATCCTTGTAGAAGAGTCTCGGCCTTTTCCTTAGTGGAGGAGTCGACAGTGTCATTATCCAAAACCCGGACTATGTCAATCGTTGTCATATTAACTAGCTTAGCCACCGTTTCTGCTAGATCGGTGTCGTATTTGGAGGTAAAGCGGTGATCGTGCAGCGGAGGGCTCGCGGTAAGTTGAGCCACGATATTCTCTAAACTGAGGAACACGATCATATCGATCTTATCCGACGGCTTCATCTTCTTTCCCACGATCTCCGTAAATACATCGATTGCTGCATCCCGGACTTTCTCTCCACCCTCAGGGAGATTAACATCCTTTGCTCTGACAAGCTGTTGGAAGAGCAGGTCAAGCATAGACTGATTGACGATTAGCGAGATATCGATCCAGCTAACCCAACTGCCAATGGCTCTCAGACATATCTCCGCTATCTGGTCACTCCCATTCTGCCACTGAGATAGAATCTCCTGCCAGGAGCTAACAATTTTCTGCACGTCCCTCTGGCGTATAAGGTCCTTCAGCAGATTTGCTTTGTCCTGTTCGACGCGTGATCTCGAAACCAGCACATCTCCGATCTCGGCATGGATTGAGTTGATGACTCGGAGGTAGAATACGATCCCCGGGGAATTATCCTTGGACGAGCTCTGGGGGCTTTTGTACGTTAAACGAATAAGATCGTCAAAAAAGGTTTCCCATCCGTTGACATAGAGGGCGGAAAAAAGATACGTCAACGTTTGGGCCACCTTATTTTGGATACTAGCAGGGTCCATCTGAGCGGCTGGATCGAGGCCATACATCCGGCGGAGGTAATCCATCATGGTGTCCTTGATATATCCAAGCCCCTGCATGTCCACTAGGCCGGTCTGTGTAGCACTGCTGACGATTTCCAGGGAAGAATGGCGGACAACCTCCGAGTGACGGGGTAATTTGGTGAAGATGGAAAGGCACACGTGCCATCCTGAGGGGCTTGTTCGGAGCTGGTTGAGGTATTCAAATGCCTGTGCCTTGAGCGCTTGGTCGGAGGAGGGGTTCCAGGCAATTTCAATGGCATTCGCTACCTATTTATCAAAACAAGTCAGACCTTTGTATGGTAGCCAGTTGGGCTGCATCGAGTAAAAGGTCGATCGAGGGGCAATGGCCCCGAAGGCA